ATAGATAGATAGATAGATAGATAGATAGATAGATAGATAGATAGATAAGCTACTGTAAGGCAGTGGTGGTGCATACCTTTAATCCCAGCATTTGGGAGGTAGAAGCAGGTGAATCTCTGAATTCGAGGCCAGCCTGGTCTACACAGCAAGTCCAGGACAACCAGGGCTACAAGAAAAAAATCCAGTCTCAAAAACAACAAAACAAACAAACAAAAACCCATAACCAACCAAACAAGCAAAAAAGCAGAAGAAAAAAAAAAAAAGAAGGTAACTTCTATCAATTGGGGAGATTGTAAAAAAAAAGGTAACAGACACACAGGAGATAACAGATTCAGATCAGTGGTGCAAATGCACACAGGTGTGCTGCCCCTGCCAAAGACCTGATGGCAGGCCTTCCCACCAGAGCTCATCCGCATTTCCTTCTGGGGCAAGGGGCACATTCTTTTCTCATTTGGAGCTCAGAACATGGGTTCCATGGTGTATAGTGGCACTTCTGTGTACTCTGAGACCAGAAAGGCCGGTTCCAGGGCACATGCACAAGAAGCTCTCGTGCTACTCCCGAAGGAAATGTGTACAAGGGGCTGGTAGAACTGTTCAGCTCATCGGAACTGTGGTGGCTCATCGGAGGCAAAGGGAGGCGGATCTCCGTGAGCTTGAGGCCAGCCTGGACTACAGAGCGAGTTCCAGGACAACTAGATTGTTACACAGAGAAACCCTGTCTCGGAAAAAACAAAACAAAAATGAACACTGTATGTTTCTATTAACATCAAATATTGAAGTCTGGGTATATAACTCAGCGACAGAGTGTTTGTCCAAAGTACATCAGATCCTATGTTCAATTCCCAGTATTGCCTAAAATAAAACAAAATGAACATGTGAAATATTAAGAATAGTCAATTTCACAGAGGCAGAAAGATTAGATGTTATTTACTGCTAGATTGGAGGTCACGGGCAGCTATTGCTTCATAGGTACAGAGTTCTTGTTTGAATAATGAAGACATTTTTGAAATAGAGGTTGTGTAATACTATAAATGTAATTATTCCAGTTAAATTGGTGCTTCAAAGTGGTTTAACGGTCTGGGGTAATGGCTCAGTTGATGAGAGCTCTTGTTGTACAAACATTAGGGCCTGAGTTCAAATCTCCTCTGGCATCTGCATGCATGTGTGCGCGCACGCGCGCGCACACACACACGCAAACACACACACACACGTACAACAAAGTGACTGAAAAATGGTTTAAGCCAGGTGTGTGGAAAGCTGGAAACAGCAGGATTTCAAGTCTAATACCAGCTCTAGCTGCATAGTGAGCTCAAGGCCAGCCTGAACTATATAACAAGACCCTGTCTCGAAAACGCTAAAATAATGACAATAAACAAACAAAAACTTAAAGAATGTGCACAGTTGCTTCTCATTAAAGCAAACAAAACAAAAGAGGGCATTCTGAAAACAAAACAGAGTGTCTCAGTCTCATTGGCCTAGTGTCTCATTTGTCAACAAGACAAAGAACAGGCTTCCAGGGGAAGGTCCGAGATTAACACCCTTTTTCCTTGAGTTTTTTGTTTGTTTGTTTGTTTGGTTTTTCAGGACAGGATTTCTTTGTGTAGCTTTGGAGCCTGTCCTGGAACTCGTTCTGTAGTCCAAGATGGCCTCAAACTCACAAAGATCTGCTGTCTGCCTCTGCCTCCCAAGTGTTGGGATTAACCACTGCCCGGCTTTTTTTTTTTTTTTTAAAGATTTCTTTTTTTATTATGTATACAGTATTCTGCCTGCAGGTCAGAAAAGGGCACGAGATCTCATTGTAAATGATATGAGCTACCATGTGACGGCTGGGAACTGACCTCTGGAAGAGTA